GACTTTTAATTTTTTTATTTATTAAATGGGAACTAAGTTCTCAGACTATTTCTTCTTTCCTTGTTTCATTACTTGTTACTACCCTTAACAGTTCATATAAGCTTTATGTCTCTATAATATCACTGGTTACTCTTCTATAGCTTTTAACATTATGTGTCTATCCATCTACCCTCTTCCCTGTCAACTAATTACTCCCCAAATATTTCCTCTGCATTATTTCATTTGGTTTGTCTCCTCTTTGACTGGTTATTTTGAGCCTTTAAAAAAAAATGGTCTAATTAAAACAAAACCATTATAAACTCCACATTAATAAAGTGCAATTGAAACAACTATGCCATTAAAACAACAAAACATATGGCATTATTAGCAGCTGTATGAGCTTAAGCAACTTTCATTGATAAAATGTGGCTCATGACATTTTAATTTAGGTTATCACTTATGATTTATTGATTATTTGGATACAGTGGTACTATTAGTTATTAATATATCTATTTTTAGTTTTATAAACCTACTAGAGGCCTGGTGCACAAATTCATGCATGGGTGGGGTCTGGCCATGAGGCCGGCCAGCCAGGGAGAGGGGTCGCAGGCAGTTGGCCTGCCGCCCCTGCCCCCAGTAGGGGTGTTGGGGGGCTGATCGGGGGCAGGCAGCCGGGGAGGGGCCAATCAGGGCCTGGATCAGGCTGATTGGCTGCCGCAGTGGGGCATTATAGCCACCAATCATTCTGGTCATTCTGGTTGTTCTGCCATTCCGATTGCTGGGCTTTTATATATACTAGTATAGATAGTTATTTATCTTTTTCAAAATATGAAGACTAAGTAGAATTTCAAGAAATATTAAAGATAATTCTACCTCTATTCCCCATATTTATATATAGTGGGAAGATGGAAAAGGAGAAGTTTAGAGTAGTTAGATAATTTACCCAATGTCATTTACTGAGGAAGAGGCTAAGCTTGTCTAGCACTCAGGTCTCCTTGACAACCTACTGAATGGGAGAATATATTTTCCAATGATACATGTGAAAAGGGGTTATATGCAAAATTTATAAAGATCTTATAAAATTCAACATCAAAAATCAAGCAATCCCATTAAAAAATGGGCAAAGGACCATAAAAAGCATTGGTAAGGATGTGGAGAAAATAGAAGCCTTCTGCACTGTTGGTGGGAATGCAGATTGGTGCAGCCACTGTGAAAAGCAGCATGTAGTTACCTCAAAAAATAAAAAATGAAATACTTTTATGACCCAGCTATTCCACTTCTGGAAATATATCTGAAGAAACCCAAAACACTAACATGAAAGAATATATGCACCCCTATGTTCATTGCGGCATTATTTACAATAGCCAAGATTCAGAAGCAGCCCATGTGCCTATCAATAGATGATTAGGTAAAAAAAGCTGTGGTACATTTACACAATGGAATACTAATCGGCCATAAAAAAGAAATTTTACCTTTTGCAACAGCATTGATGGACCTGGAGAATATTATGCTAAATGAAATAAAACAGAGAAAGACAAGTACCACATAATTTCACTTAGATATGTAATCTAATGAATAAAATAAATTTATAAAACAAAAACAGACTCATAGAGAGAACAGACTGACAGTTGTCTGAGGAAATGGGGATTGGGTGAAAAATTGAAGGGATTAAGTAAAAAAAAAAAACACAGAGACACAGTGTGGTGATTACCAGAAGAAAAGATGGGGTAGGGGGAGGTAGAAGAGAGCAAAGGGGAGTTAAATGGTGACAGAAGGAGACTTTACTTTGGGTAGCAAACACACAAAAATATACAGATAATGTATTATAGAACTGTATACAGTGGGGCCTTGACTTACGAGTGTCCCGACTAACGAGTTTTTTGAGATACGAGCCATCTCTCGGCCGATTTTTTGCTTTGAGTTGCGAGCTAAAATTTGGGTTACGAGCCAGCTTCAGATACCCCACCGCTAGTTGGCGCAGCGAACGTCACAGTGAATGCCACAACATCAGCCCAGCATCACGTGTCTCACTCGTTCACTTTTTGATTTGACATACGAGTAATTTGAGTTACGAGCTCTGTCATAGAACAAATTAAACTCGTAAGTCAAGGCCCCACTGTACTTGAAACCTATATAATTTTATGTAGCAATGTCATCCCAATAAATTCAATAAAAATTAAAAAATATAGAAATTGAGATTACTCTTACCTTTGCACACCAGACTTTCCCTTGCCAGTTACATTCAAATTAACTTTAAACAGATGAATTTAAAGTTCATCTGTTAAGGGACATGAGAGCATAAACTCTCCACAGAAAACAGGAAAGCGATGGCAGTCATATGTCAAAAATTTCAGTTTTGAAAATTTAAAAACAAATTAAAAGGGTGTGTTAAATGCTCCATTTTTCTTAAAAAGGAAAAGAAAATTAGCACAGCAAGTGAAAAAAAAAAGAGAGAATTTTAAGTAGGTTAGAAATATTGAGAATGGAGAGAAAAATCCTTAATGAGAATTACATTCAGAGCAGATTGTTGGGGAAGACTTGACAAGAGAAGCAGATGATGAATTCAGGAGAAGATTGGGTTTTAGTTAAAGGCAGGAACTTTTGAAGATAAGGTCAAGGATATTTCTTCTCAGCAGAATAGCACACAGTAGACCCTTACTAAATATTTGTTTAGTAGATGAACACATGAATGAATGATTTGGGTTGAGTTCTAAAGAGAAGAGTGGAAGATGGTAATAGAAAAACTTAGAGAGTCAGTTTGAGGAAGGTGGGGCTGGTTGGATAGAGATGGGAGTTAAACAGCCTATGTATAGAGGCCTAGAAGCTAGATTAGAAGTTGGCCAATTACGGCCCATGGGCCAAATCCAGCCCAGCACCTGTTTTTGTACAAGCAGCCCATGAGCTAAGAATAACTTTTATATTTTTAAATGATTGAAAAAATCCAAAGAAGGATAATATTTCATGACATGAAAATGATATGAAACTCAATTTTCAGTGTCTATAAATAAAACAATGTTTTTGTTGTTTTATTATTGCAGAAGGGAGCAGCCTGCACCTTACAGGAGCAGTAATAATGTGCTTTATAAAAATTATCTCTTTAAATTCTCACAACAACTCTATGGGATATAATTCATTGTTCCCATTTCACTGATGAGCAAGGTCACAAAGTTCATTAGTGGCCTAGTCAGGAGCTATACCCACAGCTATGTGCCTTTCCGGACTTCCCAATTTCCCCTAGGATAAAAGCCATCGCTCTGGAAGTAGTGAGACTATAAAATGCTTATAAAAGAGGGTGTGGGAGTATGCTGAATACTTAGAGGGCAGTTTTGGAACTGAATCAGAGGAAGGAGGGAATGGTTTAGGCAGACACATTTCTAAGAGATGTATATAGATTAATTCATTTAATTCTCACAACTCCTCCAGGAGTTGTATACCATTATTAATAATCCTATGTTGGATAAAGGGTGGCTTCCTTTAAGACCACTTTCCAGGTAAAAGGCCCAGCATCTGGGCACTTTAACACTTTGAGGCTCTTTGTCAGAAGAGGTTGGGGTGGTCTCTGGCTGGAGATAGCCCCTGGCCAGATTCAGTATTCTGCGCCTCTCTGTTGTGTTCTTGTCTTGCTTGTAGGAACAAATTTAAACAAGAGACAAGTAGCAGCAAAAGCAGGTGAGGATTTATTTGTAGGAAAAAAGTACACTCAGAACCTGAGTGGGCAACTCAGCCGGCCGAAACCATGTTTGAAAGTTCAGAGAATTTACACCCCGAGGCTGAAACACCCCTAGATAAGGAGAGAGTCACCCCCTCTCTCGTGTCTCAAAAAAATCTATCTTGAAACTATAAGGCTCTTTCACCTGGGTGTTATGCCACCAGGTAGACCACATCCTGGAGGGGCTCTAAATTTTTCCTCCTCACATCGGGGTCTGGGGTCTGCATCTCCATTGTCTATTTTTGGTTTGTCTCATCTGACACATCTCCCCTCCAAGCCTCAACTGCCTCTTCCAGCTCAAATCTTTCTAAGGACCTACTCTCACATTTTGATGGGTGACACCACTGGGTCTCTAAAGGCTCATCCAACCCTAAACATCTCTGATCCCACCTTCAGAAGCACTTAGGGAAGGTGTCCAATGGACTCAGCTTCCACCCTGGTGCGCTGCATTCTTGCCCTAAGACTTCTCTCCCAACCCCCCATCACCATCCACTCCCCCCATAGGCTTTTGAGACCTTCTAGCTAATAGCTCTCTGGTTCTTCTCTGATAGTTTATTCTAAAGAGACTTCCTAAATCACAACAAATTAATCAGTATTTGAAGAAATGCAGCAGATGAGTTTAAAGTTCAACTGTTAAGGGACGTGAAGGCTTAAAGGTCCACAGAAAGCAGGAGAGTGATGACAGTCATGTCAAAAAATTCAGCAGCTGTAAATTTAAGGAAGCTCTTTGTAGCTGGCGCGTTTACTTCTGATGGTCACCTTTGGCCCTGAAAGCAGCCACTCACTTCCCCACTTGGAACTTACTCCTGGGCAGCTGCTGACAAAACAGGAAGCGATTAGAATGTCATTTGTTTTTAAAACTCTCTGAACTTTGGGAGTTTTAAAACAGGGGTTAAAGTATCAGTGCAAAGTCCCATACAAAGACTGACTTAGTATTGAGCTTTGCACAGCAGCCTTTCCCTTGCCAGTTACATTCAAAACAGCAAGCTTTTTTTTTTTTTTAATACAAGTTGGTGGGGGTGGGGAGAGAAAAAAGGAACTGGGAAAAGAAGGAGAGGGGAAGTTGAACCTTCCCTCTCTCCCTGTCTTCCTCAGAAAACCAAACATGGCATCTTCCATGAGGAGCTTGTTTTCAGATCACAGCAGATATGTTGAATCTTTTCGGAGGTTTCTCAATAATTCCACGGAACACCAGTGCATGCAGGAATTCCTGGACAAGAAGCTGCCAGGCATAATAGCAAGGTAACAAAAAAGGGCGCTTTGTCAAAGGGACAAGCCTCCGCGTTTTCCTTTCAGTGATAGATGGGTGGAGCCCAGCCTGCAGGCTGGGCGAGGGGGATAAGAACCGCCACTGATTGCAGTGCCCGCTCCGCTCCCTCTTCCTCCCACTGGGCTCCTTTTCCTGTGATTCTTTAGTTCGACTTTTGCTTTAAACATTCAAAGGATCCCATTTGTGCAGCATTTCCAGCTGCATGAAGATAAGCATTAACTATTTGAAGGCACAAATCCGTGTTCATTTGGGAAAAGAGAAGATGCAAATCTTTGAGTTCAGATTTTTTTCATCCCTCCTCTAAATTTTGCATTAAAAAATGCCCCAAAAGGAGTCTAATGTTCTTTTCATTAGAATCAAATATAAATAATTACCAAATAATATTTGCTCCTGAGGACTGAGTGGGTGCCTCTCAGTTCTCCTAATATCCATTTAAATTCATTTTCCTTATCTATTATTATAGTTATCACGCTCCAAAAAAAATTGTCTTTTCCTTTCAACTTAATATTAGCAATGTGGCCCAAAAGAAAAAGCATTTTCCTATTACCAGTGAACCTCACTAGTTCCTATCCTTCGAGCAGACTGCTTTTTTTGGTGATTAATGTGTTTAATTTGTGCCAGGGCTGATAAGCATTATGGGAGTAACAGATTCCACACGCTAAAGATAATCAAATCACCTATGTAGGGGTGGATTGCTGTAACTTACTCTGCTTCAGGAAATAATGATGGAAGCTGGGAAGAAATGACTGACTGTGGATCCAATCAGCAGCAGCAAGGGAAACTGAAATGTTATCTTTTGCTGGCTTTCTCTAGTAGAGGCCTGAAATTCTTTCCCCAATATGGTACTCTGCCTGACCAGAGAGACCTTGCTGGATGTATATGGGATTGTTTTCCTTTCTATTTTTTATGGCTTAGTTTTTAATATGTTTTAATTTTTTTTTATATTTTAATTTACAGTTGACAATTTAAATGTGATTTTTAAAAGTAGAGTATTATATAATTTTAATAATTAAAAAGTAATAGAATAATGGTGCAAAAATTAAAGCAGACAGCAAATACAAACTTCTTACCTGGGATCTAATTATAGTTTATTTCTTTGGGTCTTCTTGTTAATTTCTAAAATTGAAAGTAATGAGTTAATTTCTGAGTTCTTTTGCAGACCTAAATGTCTGTGTTCATGTCTGTAGCTATCCAGTTACTTGGTTTTCTTTAGCCATAAGTGTGGTTTGAAGAGGCACCATGAATGGATATACATAATAAATGATGACCCTTCTCTTCAAGGTGTATACCATCCAACTGGAAATATTGAATGTGGAATTTGTAAAAGACTCAAGAACTTTCAAAGGCATAAATAAATTTTCATTATAGTGGTAATATATAATTAGAAATTATCTAAATCAAAGTATCATTTATTTAAAAAATAATCCCTGACCCCCACCCCCTGCTACTCCCTCCCAAAGTGATGTTTGGAATGAGCTTTAGCTGAAGTAGCTTTAAAATTGCTGCTAAACGTTGTTTCTAAGTTATATAAATACACAACATGCCTGCTTTATTTTCCATTCTAAAAAAACTTTCTTTGAAAGTTAAATGGTTCTAAAAAGCTTATAACAACAACAGCAAAAACAAATAAAAAGAAAACACAAGAAAAACTGGTTCCTTGCCCTACCCACTCCCAACCCTGACTCCCATTTTCCAGAGGCAAGCACTTTCACCATTCTGCCAAAATCTTTTAGTTGTTTCTGATAGAATTTTCTTTCCTAATTCTAAATAATAATTGTTAATATTTGCTGTGTGCTTGTCGTGAGTAGACAGGTCTAAGAGATTTACATGAATTAAATCATTTAATCCTCATACTCCCCTATGAGTTAGATACCATTATTGCAATCCTATAACATATTATTATTATTATTCTATTTCATGGGTAAAAAAGAGGCAGAGGTTAAATAACTTGCTCAAGGTAACAAATCAATAAACTGGGATTTCAACCTCGTGGGGAATGTCCTGCTGCGGGTCTTATAAGGCCCTCGAAATCATTTGGTCTGACCCTGCCAAGGCATTATGGGTGAGTTAATTAAATGTTTGACCAAATATATCAGGCTAATTTTTAAAAATATATTTTTATTGATTTCAGAGAGGAAGGGAAAGGGAGAGAGAAAAATATCAGTTATGCAAGAGAATCGTTGATCAGCTGCCTCCTGCATATCCCTTACTGAGGATCTAGCCCAAAACCCAGGCATGTGCCCTGACAGGGAATCAAACTGTGACCTCCTGGTTCATGGGGCAATGCTCAACCAATGAGCCACACCAGCCAGGCTAGCAGGCTAATTTTTAAGTTGATAATTGTGTATTGCCTGCAAATAATGTTATACTGTCCAAATGGGCCTTGGCAGAAAAAAGGTTCCCACCCATATGATCTATAGCCTCACTGTGCTATCCACACATATAAGCATTTTAAAAATTAATCAAGAACATAAATAGGAGTGGGTATATATATTAAGACTCATGATTATGAGTTGGAAGATAATTAGAACTAAGGAAGGCAACTCATTCATAAAAGTCCTTGACTCTGCTTTCCAATTTCTTTAACTTTAGCCAAAGAGCAGACGTGTTTACATCCTAAAGCCCAACTAACAAACGTACTTTCAGTTCATGTCTCCCCTCTAGCAGTTACCCCTTTTTTTTTTCACTCTTTCATCCTATTTCAACAATCTCTCTGGATCTTTCTCCTCTTTATCAAGCACACTTTAAATCCCACTGTCATCTGGCTTCTTCCCTCAACCTACTTTTAAAACTGATATTATCAAATATATTAATATTGCCAAATTCAATGGAGATTTTCTTTTAAAAAAAATTTTCAGTAGTACACTCTGCCACCTTTGACACTACAGATGGCTTTCTCCTTTTTTAGTACTATCATATCTCTGAGCTTTGCTGTTTTCTTGTCTTCTTTTTGTATGTCCCATAATCCAGTGACTTTTAAAAGTTGATATTGCCTCATTATCCCACTACCCTTCTAAGTATCTGCAATATCCTTGGGTGATTGGAATCTACCCTAATTTTGACCATTACTTTATGACAATAATTCTCCAGAATACATCATTTATCCTGATCTCTTTCTCACCCAGAGTAAATCTTGCATATCAAAATGTCCAATGAGTTCAGATTTATCAAAACAAAATAAAACAAACAAACAAAAAAACAAAAAGAAAAGCCTTGAGAACACATACTAGTAACATTGCCATCAAGCTATATTCTCCAGTTTCCTTTTGGGCACCATGCTTCACCAAGTCATTGTGCATTCGCCAAGCCTGAAACTTGGCAGTCATTGTGCAGTCAGACTTGTTTCTGACCCCTTTACATCAACCTAAAGCAAGTCATAGTGTTGTTTTCCAGGCCATCAATTCCACTCTATTTCTAATACTAGAGCTATAATGTCAGGCTTTATCATCTCACATATTGCTTGAGAGCAAAGGAGTGTCTTATTCATTTTTATCTTCTCAGTGCCTAGATTAGGCATACAATAAATGTTTGCCTGTTTGTTGAAAATAGCAAGAAGAAAGGAAAGAAGGCAGACATAGAGATAGTATGAATCACCTCAACCTTTCCCCATATACAGCGAATGCCTAATTACATCCCAAGACTCAAGGACTCACTTTTTCTTTTCTTGTTCTCCAAATCAATTCTCAACAAATGATTTACCTTACCTCTGAGCTGTTTATAATGTGTTTCTAAAAGTCTACCAGTTCAAAATTGTTAATGAATAGAACCTATATTTCTAAAGATTTCTAAAGGCAGCAAGATAACTACTGAAAAAATTGGAATCTTTCATGTTGGCCTAGCTTTTGTTCACTGTAATTTTAGGCTGCTCTCTTCAACTAGACTTAATAATCAGATTTTTCCAAGCATGTAGCACATTTTTCTTAAACTACATAATTTTTTTTTCAGGATTGGAGACAAAAAATCAGAAATTAAGATTCTAAGCATTGGTGGAGGTGCAGGTATGAATAACACATTTTAAAATTTGAATTTCACTCCAGACTAATGTTGTTTGATGGTAATATGGTACATTCTTTAGGAAAGCTACTTTGGGAAGAGATTAGGTTATTAAAACTAGTAAGGGCAATACCACTTCAACTAAGGTTAATGTCCCCATAGATCTAAAGGGTTTATGACATCAGCCTTCATTACTATCTGTAATGTGGATAAGTGTAGCTTTATTTTTCATAAATGGAAAAACATAGGACATATTTGGTTAACTTTTATCCAAAATGATTTAACTGTTCACAGAAAAGGAAAGTTTCATAAGACATTTCTTAAGCTTGTCCCACTTTGAAGTGTGGTTCGTGGACTGGTTGCTGGTTTGCAAACAGTCCAGGCAGAGATAAGAAGCCTGCACTGGAATGTAAATAAATGCACAGCTCCCTTCTTTGAAAACTTGCTGCTATGGGGAAAACTATGCTGAATGACATAATTGATTTACCCTCTTGTGGACCTACTCTTTGAGTTGCACTTGCCTAATGCATCCCTTTCCTCTGATTTTGTTCCAAATCTGCCCTCTAAGAATTCAGCACACTCCCCAGCCCCCTTTTAAAAGCTTTCCATTGTATTACTACTCCTAGAGCCAGTGCCTTTACCTTAGGGAAAAATGGGGAGTTTGGAAAGATATATTGAGGTGGGCATAGTTTCTGACTCTGCCACCAATGAACTATGTGGCCTTTGCTGAAACCTAGGCTTCAGTTTTCTTATCGGCAATATGGGAACAATGAATCATATCTCATAGAGTGGTAGTGAGAAATATGTAGATAACACTTATAAAGTGGTTAGCACATTGTTACTGCTCCTATAAGGTGCAGGCTGGTCCCTTTTGCAAAAACAAAACAAAAAATTTCATCACCACACTTAGTCTCATATCAAACTCCTGAATTGTTTGCCTTATATTTAAGTTGCTAGTCATCTGGAGGCCTGAGTTAATATATTAACACTAGAGGCCTGGTGCACAAAATTTGTGCACGGGTAGGGTCCCTAGGCCTGGCCGGTGATCAGGGCCCATCAGGGCCTTCTGGCTGCCGGCCGGGACCTTCCTTCATTCCATGCTGCTCCCTGGTGGTCAGTGCACGTCATAGGGAATGGTCAAAGGTCGGTGGAACTCCTGAGGTGACAATTTGCATATTAGCCTTTTATTAGAAAATGTAGTCATATTTATTGTTCTATATTACTCCTTCCCTCCCTCCCTCTTTCTTCATTGTTTTCTTTTCAAACAATCACTACTTAGTATTTGTTACCATTTGGTAACAAGTGGACGTTACATAGGGACAAGTGGTAATCTCTTGAGTCTCTTGAGTGTAAGAGTTTTAATACCACATGAATGAGTGAATTGTTGGCCCATATTAACACAAAAATAACCAAGAACATGCTAATGGAATAAGACAGCTACTTTTTCATGTTATTATTTGTCCATTTATCACAAAATACACTGTGACATAATGTAATAAGGATTAACCCGTAAAATAATTTTACTTTATTATCATCTTTCACCAAGAAAATAGAAAATAACAAGGACAAATAAGAAAGGATATTGCCATGAATGATCTTATAAAAATTGTTTAAGCTAAAATATTCCATTATTTCTTACTGGTATTTTAAATCCTAAGGATTATAAGAGTGATAAATTGCCCAGAGTTAATTCATTTAACCAAGACAGTCACTTCCAGTGAGCTTTGCATATGGGTTTCAGGCACCCAACAGGCAATGATACTATCATTTGATAGTGTCACTTGTACTTGGGCAAGAAAAGAAGCCCTACAAGGAAAAGTAATTAAAAACAATCTCTATCTTGGCCAAATTAATTGACCTTTTAATATAAAGTTAATTGCATTTCTAATGTAAATTTATCCAGATGCTTATAAACTATCTAGAAAAAGGAACAGTTGGCCTACACAGTGATTCCTTACATAAAGGTGCACATAGGAGCTCATTTAAAGAATTTATCGAAACAAAGGGAACAATACTTGGAGTTCTTCTGACTGAGCCTTAACATTGTATTAAAAACAAGCTCTGCCTTGGGGATGATATGGGTGCCCATTAAGGGCACTCTTCATAAGAAATTTGTCAGAAATACAAGAAAAAAATCCAAGTTGATACTTAGCTTTCACTGTTGAAGTGAGCTCCATGAAATCAAAAGCAATACATTTAAAATCCCTAGGTCTAGATGTCCCTGGCACAAAACAGCAGTGCTCAGGGGGTAGAAGACACCCCACTCAGTTAGTTTGAGTGCTCATACACCAACTGGGAGATGCTCACCTGATGACCTGTCATTGCCTAACTGCAAGCACCCTGCAGAAGAACAACGTGGGTGAGAAACTTCCTATCCTTGCCTTAGAGAAATGGTCTCCTTAGAAGTTCCAGTCTACATTGGATCTGAAACTTTTGCATTATCCTGTGGCTTAAGTATCCTTCCAAATCAGTCACTGAACTCTAATCCCTGGCAAACAAGGTCACTAGCCCTGTCTGGTACCTTTGGCTCAGCTCCCAGAATGCATCTACCTCAGTCTTAGCTTATAGTCCTGTCTGGTTTTACCTCCTAGATCAGTGATGGCAAACCGATGACACGCGAACTCATTTTTTTGGTTGATTTTTCTTTGTTAAATGGCATTTAAATATATAAAATAAATATCAAAAATATAAGTCTTTGTTTTACTATGGTTGCAAATATCAAAAAATTTCTATATGTGACACAGCACCAGAGTTAAGTTAGGGTTTTTCAAAATGCTGACACGCCGAGCTCAAAAGGTTCGTCATCACTGTCCTAGATGTTCTCCTCTTGGTTGCCCTGACACCTGCAGATTATCTTCTGCATATCTTTGTTGCAAAATCCTCTCTGCATTCATAATGCTGCTACCACTTCTCCCCACCACAATGGAAAAACATACAAAAAGCAAACCAACTAAAACTTTCCTACGTGAAACTGCTGCTTTTATATCACTTAATGCTCATGCTCTTTGGTGGCCTATTTGATTTCCTTTTCAGAAACACAAGCAGGCGGTGCTTGTGTACCCTTTCTGTCTCCCGACTCTTCTGTAAGGATCGATGTTTGTGTGGAAAGGGTTTCAGTTAAGAGAGAATGTAAGGTATTTGAAGAGATGTTTGAAAATTCAGGTTAGAAGCCAAGCAATAATTAAGACTCTGAGCAGTTCAAAAGAAAGGAAATCAGTACCCAACATTTTGATGTCACCTTTAAATAATCTATGTAAATAAAATACAATTGCTAAGCAGTACTGTTATTCATAGGTTATACAGGAAAATGTATGAAATAAATATGTGAACCAAAAACAAAACAAAAAAAGAAAGAGACAAAATCAGGAGAAAAGCAAATCATGGACAAAAATTCAGACCATGTAGCTTTTACAGAGGTCAAACTGGGAAGTATAAAGTCGTGTGCTGTGAGCTTTAATGCAATACAATGAGCACCTCCGATAGCCTTATTCAAGGTCTCAAAGTATTCAGCACTGCTTTTCAGATATTGAGAGCAACTGCATTGTATTCTAAGTCTCATAGAAATGCTCTTTGGTCCATCTTTGACATTCATGCTTCCTAAAATTAAGCCACTCAACAGAGATCCATTATTATTCAACTTTAAAGAGTGTTGTTTAAATGGTACATCAAGAAAAAGAAACTTTTGCTAAGGAAGAACGCTATTAATTTATAGTGTATACACTTTTGCCTCGCAAAATGTTCCAGAAGGCAGTGTGGGCAATGTGTTCTCCTTGCTCTGGGCTCTGCTTAAAGGAGAATCATTTTATCTGCTGCACTGTTCAGTTCTTCAAATGCCAGAAAGTTTTATAAGGGTTAGATAGGACTATAACTCAGTTTTATTTTATCCGGTTTTCTACTTCTATTCTTGTTAACCTATTGTGTACCAACTCAATTGCCATACCCTATATAATAGTATATACATATGTTTATCATTTTTTAATCCACTGAAGCAACTCACATATGAAGCACAAGTGGTCTGAACTCTCGCATAACATTTTTGTTGTTGTTGTTAATAATATTCCTGACTTATGTTGACAGAAGTAAGGTGGTTTTCTTGTACTACAACATATGGACACCAGCATTCCTACAGGGGTTACAAAATAAAGAGTTTGGAGACCATTAACATCCTCAGTTTACAAATAAGAAAACTGATAACCACCAAGACAGAATAAAACTCGGGTCTCTTGATTTTAGTCCAGTCCAAGAAATTGTACAAAACAATATAGACATTAATTTTTGACTTGGCAAAGGAGAGATTAGGTACTCAATAATCACCAGCTGTTTGAAAACCTAATCTTATGAAATTATTAACCTTTTCTCTTTTCATAAATGACATGTTAAGGTGACACAGAGGTTTAGTGTTCTAAGAGAGTTGGTAGAAGTGAAACAAATAATTAAGGCAGAAACAGGAAGAGCCAGTATGTCCGCTTTCGAGGCCAGGAGGTGGTAAATAGCAAAGGTTAGTGCTGTCCAGTGATTCAGAGTAAGTCAATAATCTATATCAGCAAATTGGAGAAATATAGAGAATTGGGGGAATTTTTGCCCAGAAAATATGAATGTGCCTTTCACCATTTTCAAATATTTCTTGCTGATCAAACTCCAGAATATTTGCCCCTAAAGGGCCAGTGGTGAAAGAGAGAAAGATTTCTTGGTTCAGTATTAGAGTTTACTAATGATCGAACCTGTCCAGAAATGAGAACACACATTTTGAGAGGTAAAGACCTATAGATACATGAACTTCTAAACTTCATCTCAGCACAGGCTGGAGAAATACTTATCATACATGCTATGGAAGGGACTTAGGCACTGGTTTCTTAGGTGGTTAGGCTGTTAAACATACTTTTAATAAAAATAAATAAAAAGAAGTATGATCTTGTGAGTAACCTTCTAGAAAGAGGTAGGCAATTCTCCTGAGTGGTGTGGCTAAGACCATGTTTGGTTATAATTAAGGAAGTGAAATTTATAT